ATTTTTAATGTCTTCTTTTAGGTTTGTCACTAGTTTCTTTATGAACTTTGGTGCTCCTGTGTTGGGTGCATAGATATTTATAAGCATTATTTCTTCTTGATGGAGTGTCCCTTTGATAATTATATACCGCCCCTCTTTATCTCTCTTTACCTGCCTTATCTTAAAGTCTACTTTGTCTCATATAAGTATTGTGACGCTTGCTTTCTTTTGTTTGCCATTAGCTAGGAGTATCGTCTTCCACCCCTTTACTCTGAGCCTGTGTTTGTCTTTGGAGCTGTGGTGTGTTTCCTGGAGGCAGCAAATTGTTGGATCTTGTTCTTTAATCCATCTTGCCACTCTGTGTCTTTTTATTGGAGAATTCAATCCATTTATATTTAGGATGATTATTGATGTATGAGGGCTTAATGCTGTCATTATATCACCCATTTTCCAATTTTCCTGCATTTCCTTTGTTTCTTGTCCTGTGTGTTTTGGTGCACCCATTGAGTTATGTAGTTTTTTATGATGTGTCTCTTTGTTTGTTCCTTATTTGTATTTTGTGTCTCTGTTCTGCCTTTTTGTTTAGTGGCTATCCTGAAGTTTGTATTCAGAATCTCATGTATAAGATAGTCCGTTTTCCAATGGCCTCTTATTTCCTTAGTCTAAAACGATTCAGTCCCTTTCCTCCTCCCCTCCTAAGTTGTTTTTCTCATATCTTATTCCAACTTGTGTTGTGAGTTTGCAGTTAAAGTGACAAGATTGTGTTTGTATTTGGTGTTTTCCTTCCCTTTAGCCTAATGCTGTAGCTGAATATTTGCTATCCTATTCTGATTCTGTCTACCTTTTCATCTCTTTACTCTGCATTTTGTGACTCCTTTCTCCCTTTTTTCTTTTTTCAGGTATGAGGGCCTTCTTGAGGATTCTTGTAGCAGGGGTCTCGTGGCTACGGAGTCCCTTAGCGTTTGTTTGGGAAAGATTTAATTTCTACCTCATATCTGAAGGATATTTTTTCTGGATAGAGTATTCTTGGCTGAAGATTCTTGTCTTTTGAATGTGTCATTCCATTCTCTCCTAGCTTGTAAGGTTTCTGCAGAGAAGTTTGCTGAAAGCCTGATGTGGGTTCCTTTGTAGGTTATTTTCTTCTGCCTTGCTGCCCTGAGTATTCTTTCTTTGTCATTCATTTTTGCCAGTTTTACTACTATATGCGTGCAGTAGGTCTTTTTACATTGACAAATCTAGGAGATCTTGAAGCTTCTTCCACACATATTTCCCTTCTTTCTCTAGATTTGGGAAGTCCTCTGCTATTATTTCTTTGAACACGCTTTCTGCTCCATTCTCTTCTTCACCTTCTTGAATACCTACAATTCTTATGTTGCATTTCCTCATTGAGTCAGATATTTCTCGGAGACTTTCTTGATTTCTTTTTAGTCTTAGTTCTCTCTCCTCCTCTGTCTGGAGCATTTCAACATGTCTATCTTCGATTATGCTGATTCGCTCCTCTATGATGTCCACTTGAGCATTTGGGGAATCCATATTTTGTTTTATCTCTTCCATTGTGTCTTTCATCTCTAATATTTCTGATTGATTCTTCTTTATGTTTTCAATCTCTTTTGTGAAGTAGCCCCTGAACTCGTTGAATTGTTTCTCTACATTCTCTTTTACCTCGTTGAGTTTTTTGACAATAGCTATTTTGAATTCATTGTCATTTAGCTTACATGTTTCTGTGTCCTCAGGACTGAGGTCTGGGTGCTTGTCGTTTTCTCTCTTGTCTGAAGATTTGATGTAGTGTCTGATGTTGGAAGGTTGGCTCTTTTTCATTCTGATGTTATTTGGTTGCAGTTACAGCCTTTCACCACTGAGTGGGGGTCGAGAGCCACATATTCTGAGCTGTCCACTTTCAGCCAAGATGGCACAGGGCAGGTGAGGGGAGGGACGCTTTCTCTTGCGTGCAGTCCAGGATTTCTGGATCAGCTCTCACTGTCTGGTCTCCTGGGATCTAGGCTTGATGAGGTCACCTTGCGGGAAAGCTTTCGCCCTGTTAGAAGGCTTTCCTATAAGCTTCAAGGACCTGTGGGAGTCCTGGGTGATCCCAAGGATCCTCGTGATGCCTCCCTCTCTCCTTCCCTCACACATCCTCCCGTGGCAGCAACGACAGTCTTTAGGGGAGGGAATGAAGTTCTCCCTTACCCCGTTCCAGCTCCTCCGAGGGGGGCTCCAGCCTCTCCACCCTCCATTGTGTGGCTGCATGTCTCGCCAAGCTTTTTGTGTTGTTAGAATATCTTCTGTTGGAGTATGGATGTCCCCTTTTGTTGTATGTTGGAGGGGAGAGAGTTCTTGGCATGTTCACTCTGCCATGATGCTGATGTTACTCCACTGCTTTTGTTTCTTGTGATTTCAGTCCTTTAGTTCCTTATCAAATGGTTGAGTGCTAAACCGTAGAGTTTTGTTTTTATACTTTCTCTAGAGTTAACTTGTGCTGGCGTTATTCATGTTCCTACTATTTGGGTATACTACTTTATATTTTGCAGGTCTTTGTTCTGTTCCTCTTAACCATTACTCTGTTCTTTGATTCTAAAGATCCTTTTAAATTTCTGAAATTATTTGCAGTTACTCTTAGACTTTCTTTGCAGCTATTCAGTTCTGTGAATCCCAATGGTTTAACGTCATAACCATGTTCTTATGGCATGCCTATTTTGTCATCCTGTCTTTCTGAGTAGAGAAACTAAATCTGGAAAGAAAAAAATTAAAACCCACTTATAGTCGTTTGCAAATCCAGACAGTACAAGAGATGAATACCAAACATGATCTCCAAATTTGTAGTTCATTTGAGTCTCTGGATTATGTCGTTCCTTCATAAAAGACAGTACTCTGTACTTACTAATATATATATAATTCACTAAATTAGATCATAGCTGTTACCAATTGCAACTTAAACATTTTGGAATTTTTATTGTTTCATTTGCTGAGTAGGAATATTAGTTATCTTTTTTTCTTCAAACACCCTTAAAATTTCAAGGGCTTATAATGACAAATATTTATTTTTCTTGCTCATGGCTATGCAGGTTGATTGGGATGATTCTGTCCAGAGTATGGGTTACTTTTAGGTCTCTCCACATGTCTCTTCTCCTTGTACTAGCACCTACCTGGGCATGTTCTTTTCATGAGGAATGGCAAGAGTGTGAGAATACAAGCCAAACCACCCAAGCACATTTAAAAAGTGTCTGCTCATATTACGTCTGGTAAATCCTGCTGGCCAAAGCTAATCAGATGCCTAGCTTAACATCGGTGGAGCTGGGTATGTACTCAGTCCACAGCAGGAGGCTGTGCAAAATTACAAGGCAAAGGATCTGGATATCAAATCCTGTTAAAGAGGAATGAAAACCTGAAGGAAATAGGCTAATCTACCACTGTAGGGAAGCAAGCCAGTAAAAAAATTATTGATTTGCTAATAATAGGTCTTGTGGATTGTAAACATGACTACACTTTTTTCCATGGGTAGCTTACATCTTATTTGACTACTTTATTTTGAAAATTCTCCAATGCTTTGAATTTCTTTCAAGAGTACTCCTTTAATCCAAAGTTATTGTTTAGTAGAAATGGGTATGAGTAGAGATGGTAGTGATATTAATTGCCTTCTATGCTTTGTTTCAGAAAGAACTAGAATTGCTGATTGAATGGAAAAAATTTAAGGATTAGATTAAAAGTGGATAAGGTGGAAAACTGCCTAAATAAAATAAAGCATTCTTGCTAAGAAACTGTTAAGAGAGATAAATTAAGCACTTGGAATTGAAGTGGAGGGGAAGTGAGTTAAGCTAAATTAACTCAGTATGGAGGCTGATTTCTGAGACCCAGAAAGGCAGTAAAACATCTATTCTTACTTAGATGAGTAGGAGGAAAGTTCAAAAGTGATATGTTATAATCCTGTGATTGCCTAGCAATCTAATTAAAGTCAGTTTTAATATAATATTTTATAAGTAAGTACAGAACGAGTTTATATTTAGTATTAATGCCTGCTAAATCCTGAAGTAGAATTAATAGTTTCCTAAAAACCTTTTTCTTCCTGAAGTAATGCTAGATGTGGCTGCTTAATTTGTTAATATTTACTATTTTCTTTATTTCTTTATCTTTACCTTGGATAGAATCCTTTATTTTGAAAATGGTACCATTTACAACCTAAATTGGTAATTTCTCATAGAAAGTACACAGAATTCACTTCGTTTGAACTGGTTGGAGTGCTATGGAAACTCAAAGGAAATGGTGCTTTATTATGATGTATATTATTACAATTGTATCTCCTTTAACGGTATGAACAAGGAAGCTAAGGATGTGTATTGCAAAGCTATGCGATATTAGGCATCACCTTAGCCCACCCTTTTTCATCATGGAATCTAAAGTTTGTTGTATCTCTGGTACATGTACCTGGCTTTACAAAGCAAATGTATTCATGGGACTATATATATAATTTCTGGGGTTTTTTAACTTTCTAGTTTTAATTATAGACTTGAAAGATTATGGACTCACAAGAAATTACAAACATTGCACATAGAGGTCCTGTGTACCCTTCACCTAACTTCCCCTAATGGTCACATGAGACTTATTTTTAAATCATTGGCAGGCTTTCTTTGCCCTCTTTAATAAGCGTATATTTTTTTTGGATACTTAGCTTTCTTTAAAAAAGAACACCTGTGTTGTGCCTGATCCTCTTTAGCTTTCAGAAATATTAGGAAATGTCATGTAAGGATCATTATGTCACTATTGCTTTATCTCTTTAGCAGATTGTTCTCTGTCTTCCCCCATTTCCAGATTGTACCATTGATTGGGAAGGGAGTATGTCTCATCTACTTTTCTGATATATTCCTCCCCAGCAATCTAAAAGATATATAAGCCATTTTCTGCTCCTTATATTGAACAAACATATTCAGTTGAATATTCAGAGTTCTTGTTTTGAGTTTATTTTGGTGGTGTTTGAAAACTTGAGAGGGTTTTTTTTTTAACCTCATCTCTTCTTTTTTTCCTTTTAGCCTGAAAATGAAATTTCTTCGGACTGCAATCATGTAAGTATGGATTTTCCATAATTCACCATATGTGCTTTATATATATAGTGACAGACTTTGGGGTGCTTTTCCTGTTGTTCTGGGAAACATTATGTTTTCTTAAGTTCTCTTAATCTTAACAAGAGGGTGATAAACTTTGTTTAAGGGCATGGTAAAATCTACAGATATCATTCCATTGTAGAAATTGGCAGCTTCTGCCAAATAATATTTATGCACTTGAAACTTAAATTTTTCTTCAGTTACTGCTACCATATGAAAATGATTGTTTCTCTGCTTGTGAAGTTTACTACTTTAGAATTCTGTATTTTAAAGTTATTTTGTTTAGTTATACTGTCATCTATGTGCTGAACACTGTAGTAGAAACTAGAGGCATGTAGAGAAACACTTTGAAGATATAGACATGTGTTAGAGTTAGCACATAAGAACTCCAGGGATAGACTATGATTAATATGTTAAAGGTTTCGTATATATAGATAGATAACTATAATTAATACACTAAAAGTCATATGTATATATCCATATTATATAAAGTATAACATTAAAAGGAGACTGACGTGAAATCACACCTATGCAACAAGTGCTCAGTACTGTGATAGAAGTCTGTACAGAGCAGAGTGGTAACACAAAAGTGAATTTTAACCAGGTGGCTTGATGTCAGGAAAGATTTAATAGTGGGGGTGATACTTGAGCTGGGTGTTAAAAGAGGTTGTATATCTGACAGTACTGGAAGAAATCACTCAGTCACAGTGTAGAAGGTAGTTTGGACAGGAGACTGCGATAACAGAAGCAGCTTTGCAGCTTAGGTTCACTACTTATTCTAAAGAAGATCTGGATGGGCAGATTTAAAGTCAAAATCAAACCGTGAGAGTACTAGAAGAAAACACACACAGAAGAAAGGTTTTTCTGAATATGATACAACCTCAAAAAATATTAAAAAGAAAAAAGATTGATAAATGTGATTGCATTAAAAAACTCAAAAAAGATTTGAGGTTTTTCCTTCAGGAAAGTTATGTAAATTATGAAAAAGTATTTGCAATGCAGATGAAGAGACTACATTCTCTAGTAGAAAGTGCTGCTAATAAATATAGACAACAACATGATTATTAATAAATATAGACATATTAATATGTATATTATATTAATATACATATTATATTATATATAATATACATATTATATATTATATATATAATATACATATTATATTATATTAATATACTATATTAATAAATATAGACAACAACAACATGAATAGACTTCATAGGAAAAGAAAAAGAAGTCCAATAGACAACAAAAAAATTGATTCTCCCTCATAATTAAGAGCATGAAAATTAAAAGAGGGGCCGGCCCAGTGGCGCAGTGGTTAAATGTGCACCTTCTGCTTTGGTGGCCCGGGGTTCACTGGTTCAGATCCCAGGTACGGACATGGCACCGCTTGGCAAGCCATGCTATGGTAGGCGTCCCACATATAAAGTAGAGGAAGATGGGCACGGATGTGAGGTCAGGGCCAGTCTTCCTCAGCAAAAAGAGGAGGATTGGCAGCAGTTAGCTCAGGGATAATCTTCCTCAAAAAAATAAAAATAAATAAATAAATAAATATTTTAAATCCCAAAATCTTTCAGAGAGAGAAAAAAATAAAGTACTGGGAATTTGAATAATATTATACTTCTTATCAGCATTATTAGAAGCTAGAAGACAGTAGATCAGTGCCTTCCAAATTTTGAGTAAAAATGATATCCCATCAAGATAATGTAAAATAAAGGCATTTCAGACATGTGATTTTTCAAAACATTTCCAAGCCATCCATGTTTTCTCATACAGCTACTGGAGGGTGTGCTTCCACCTTCCACAATGAAGCAATACACCAAGACAGAGAAAGATAAAGAATCTAATAATTAGTGAATCAACATAGGAGCAAAAGCAAAGGAAATTCTAAGGATGACACCTGTACAAAGGCCTGCTAAACAACCAGTCCTGGGGCCAGCCCAGTGGCGCAGCAGTTAAGTGCACACATTCCACTTCGGCAGCCCTGGGTTCACCGATTCGGATCCCGGGTATGGACGTGGCACCACTTGGTACGCCATGCTGTGGCAGGTGTCTCACATATCAGGTAGAGGAAGATGGGCACGGATGTGAGGTCAGTGCCAGTCTTCCTCAGCAAAAAGGGGAGGATTTGTAGCAGATGTTAGCTCAGGGCTAATCTTCCTCAAAAAATAGGTAAATAAATAAATAAACAAAAAACAAAAAAAACACAACCAGTCCTGACTGAAGCAGGAAGGTGGAAGACTCCAAGAGCAATGTCTGACCTGAGAGATTACCTGATGCGTTTGAACATTTTGTGGAGTTTATCTTTTCATAAAGAGATTGGGGATTAATTAGTAGTGGGTATATAGAGAAATAGACCTATGAAATAAATGACTGCTAACTATATGACAAACTAAAAGTTGTAAGGAAAGAAATATAATAATATTCTATATAGCTCAGTATATATAATTATTTACAGAGTCAATAATGTAAATACTGAATATTTAACAGCATTCTGATTTAGCTTTCTGTGAGAGGATTGGGTTCAGCAAGAAGGTTGTAAGAGTTTATTCCTTCTATAGTGTAAAGCTACTGTAGGATACCGAAAACTGACAAGTCAAGAAATAGCAATTTAGTTTAAAAATATGGAGGTAATTACCATAAGAAAAAGCTAAAAGAATTTAAAGTGTTTGCCTCTGGGGAGTGGGTAGGAGTTTAGAAAGGGACTTGACAGCGAACTACTTGTTTTGATTTTTTTAACTACCTTTATAGAACTGTTTGACCAAACAGATAATTTTGATTTAAAATTTCTAGGGATAAATGGAAGAGTAAGTAGATAAAATGAGCTATAGACTGTACTTTCTGGGAGCTTCTTTGTGAAGGAAGAATTTTACTTTGCCCTCCACATCCACATCTTGCCATTACTCTCTTCTAAATATATCAGATACACCCCTTCCCATCCACGTCAGTTCTTGCCTTTTGACTGGTCTACTAACCTCCCTCCATCTAGCCCTTCTTTACACTGTGACCAGAGTTGATCTTCTGAGTCCTCTGGTTAAAATTATCCACTAGCTTCCCATTTCCTTTAAGATAAAGCTTCGTTTTTTAAATATAAGCTATAATATTCAATATGATCTAACCCCCCCCACCACCTCCCTCCACCCCATTTCATACCCTCAGCTCTGGCCATTCTGAGCTCCATGTGATTCCTAGAAGTTATCATTGTTCTTTCTGTCCTTTTTACCTTTGCATCCTGGAACCCCCAATCTCCCTCAGTTCATTTGACAAAATTCCTTCTTATCCCTGGCGATGGCGCCCTGTGTAATTTGACCACTGTCAGCACCACCTATCCCTCTGACACCTTCAATGAGATGTATTCTTCCTGTGTGTTGCCATAACCTCCTTCTGTTACCACATTTATCACACTCTATTTTTATAGCTTATTTTCTTCCTAGTCTGACTTTTCCTTCTTTTGTCTCCCGTGGTTGAGCTTCTCAAATGCAGAGACAGTGGCTTTTTTTTTCCTTCACCTTTCTCAACTCTGTCACGTAGGAGGGTACTCGGATTACAGTAGTTACTCAATACATGTTTGGGAGAGGGTGAGGAACGGAATCTATCTATCCATCCCTATATCTATCCATCTAATCTATGATAGATAGATTCATAGATGAACGTCTTAAATTTAAGGAAATTGAAACTGAGTTATATCTTGTAAACCAATAGCACTTACTGTCAAATTGCAGTTATTTTTCTTATTTATAACCACTCAGGAAAGGACACTATTAAATATGGTATAAGTAATCAACTCTTAATGATCAAGTGTATGTATTTATTTTCTAGCGGAAAATGTATTGGTGGCAACCTGTGTTGAATTCCCTTTTTACTTATATTCCTGAAAGAGAATAAGAATGTATTAATAGGTCATATTAAAAATGAAAGACTAGAAAGTTGATTAATGATTGTCAAAGGATGGAAGTAGGGAGGATGGGCAGCAACAGAATGGGTATGGGGTTTCTGTTTGGGATGATAGAATGTTCTAGAATAGATGGTTGTGGTGGTTGCACAACTTTGTAAATATACTAAAAACCACTAAATTGTACAATTTAAAATGATAAATTTTATGGTATGTGAATTAAATCTAAAAAATAAAAAAAGACGAGAGGTAGAATATTTTAGCATTTAAAAATACTGTCATTTTGGGAGGAGTGCTGTTCATAAGGAAATTTATATCTGTTATCAGAATAAAGTTCCAAATTAAAAGTTGAAGACATTGAAAAGATCTAAATTATTATCTAAATGGCTATTGATAGGAAATCTATTTCTGGTCCAATCACAGGACATCTGAGTTTGCATTAGATAGAGGAAGTATTCTGTGGTTTGTGTTTATAATTTTACTAACATTTGTTGCTGTCTATTCTAAATCCTAAAGCTACCAGATAGCTTTTCTTTTTCTTTCTTTTTTTTTTTTTTACAAGAGAAATGGGATTGAGTCAGGTACAAGTCACTCAAGAAGGAAGAAGTATTTTAATCTATCTTTGGTTTGATGTCCACAAAGAATTAGGATGGTCTGAATTTTGAAAAAAGAGCATTGCTTTAATTTTACAATATAAAATTTAATGACCGTGTAGTACTTACTTAATTCATAGATAATAGTAAAATGTATTTGTCTAAATTCTTACCTTGTCTTTTGAATCATTGGATTAATTGCTGCTTCTCAGGAGCTAGGAGGCCCAGGATTCCTTCAGTTAGAACTATGCTTCTCCTATATCCATTTTCAGTTTGGCCTCATATATCCTATTGGTTGAACTTGTCATTCATCATGGCATAGGTTTGTTTATTCGTTCATCTATTCAGCAAATATTTATCGATGCCTGTGTGTTCCATACACTCTTCTGGGCACTGGGTTTACAGGGGTGTACAAGGCAGAAGTCCCATCCTCTTAGAGCTTTCATTATAAATGGAGACCAGATTCTACTCTTTTTTTCTAAAAATTGACTTACTGATGATAGTTGAGAGATTAGAACATTTTCATTTTCCTTTTTTTTTTTTCTGAGAGAGGAGAAGAAATCTAGTCATCCTTCATAGTTTGTCTCTTCACAAAATCTTCCTCAGCACTCCTATACAGAATTAACTGCTTGTTTGTTTGTTGTTCCTAATGCTCTTTATATATGTCTCTGTTTTACTTATAAAAAACAGATCTGGTCATGTCACCCCCTTGCTGTCCCTTCAGTGACTCTCCATTATTCTTGGGTTAAAGTTCAAACATGGCTCACGGGGGCTTTATGATCTGGCTCTAGCCTGCCTCTCCAGAGTCAACAGTCCTCCACTGGACTTTTAGTCCCCTAATACACCCTCCTTCCCATTTGGGTGAGTTTCCACGCATGCTGTTTCATTTACTTAAAACGGTCTTCTGCTTACCCGTTTAATATGATTAACTCCTACTTATCTTTTAGCTTTTTGTACTTTCTCTGGTAAACCTTCCTTGACCAAAACCTCCCCCCACCACCCCGCCCCAGTCCGGGGTACTGCTCCCCTGTGCTGCTGTGGCAGCTTGTGTTGCCGTTAACCAGATGCTTAATCACGCTTAATAGGGCCATGGACCATAGCCACCACTGGACAGTCTTTGTCTTTCTCCTCTTATTTTATCCCACAGTTCCTAACACAGTACATACTCAGACATTTGCTTCTGTTTCCTGTGATAGCCTATGAAGCCCCTTGAGGTTAGACTCTGTGTGGTACAGCATAATAAGCTAAGCAGATGTTTGAGTGAATCAGTGAATGCTTGATTGTGTTGATTGATTATATATTTTTCTTGACTTTTTAATGACTGAATTCATAGCTTTAAGAAAATTGTCCTTAAGTAAAAAAAGAAAAAAGTATGTCTGAAGCGTAGTGTTTTTATTTTGTCTGCATGTTTTTTTCCTTTTATCTGTAAATTTGATGACATTTTATCTTTTCTGTTTTAACTGAAGTGTGAATGTGCTTTATCTGACTCTGTGTAATAGCTTTTATCATTTATAGTGGTCATTGATGATAAATTCCATAGTATTCTAACTGGAGTTTTTTTGTTTGTTTTTTCTCTTCTACCTAGTTGTTGTGGAATTATAAACTGAACCTAACTACAGATCCCAAATTTGAATCTGTGGCCAGAGAGGTTTGCAAATCTACCATATCAGAGGTAGGTTGTGAAAGTAGTTTGTGGGTATTGAATGACGTAGATGAGAAAATTACATCTGTTGACCAACCAGTCATTAAACGAGGAATGACTGACTCAGTTACGTTACTTTTCTTGAAATTCACATCTGTGTTGCTTGAGAGATAGACCAAGAATGGGGATGTAATTCTTTTTGTTAATGTTTATCTACATTTACATTAGATGCTGTTGATTCAGACAAACTGGAAATCAGGCTCTGTTGGTCACCAAACAGAGAATACAACTGCTCTGTCATCGGTGCTGCTCTCACACATTTTACAATCTACTTATGTCTGAGGCATACCAAAATGGCCTCCCCAGGAAGCTTATAAACATTCCTAAGTGTTTTGGCTATCCACTTGGATCAATTGAACCATAGAGGCATACGCTTCAAATAATAGGAGTTAGTATTAAAAAGATTTGTAACAAGATTATGTATAATATTATAAATGGATATTGAGTATAAAGACAAAAATCATGAAAATGTATAACATTGTGTGCATGCTAATTGGGGAGATTTTTCAATTATTTCTCTTGGCTCAATGTAAACAATAAATAGTATTAGTGAAAGTTGTGGTATTGGATTTTTTTTTTTTTTTTTAAAGTTTGGCACCTGTTGGGCTGGCCTGGTGGCACAGCGGTTAACTGCACATGTTCTGCTTTGGCGGCCCTGGCTTCGCCAGTTCGGATCCCAGGTGCAGACATGGCACTGCTTAGCAAGCCTTGCTGTGGTAGGCATCCCACATATAAAGTGGAGGAAGATGGGCACAGATGTTAGCTCAGTGCCAGTCTTCCTCAGCAAAAAGAGGAGGATTGGCAGCAGATGTTAGCTCAGTGCTAATCTTCCTCAAAAAAAAAAAAAAGTTTGGCACCTGAGCTAACATCTGTTGTCAATCTTTTTTTTCCCCATCTTCTTCTCCCCAAAGCCCACCAGTACATAATTGTATATTCTAGTTGTAGGTCCCTCTGGTTGTGCTATGTGGGGCGCCACCTCATCATCTTGATGAGCGGTGCCATGGCTGCACCCAGGATCCAAACCGGTGAAACCCTGGGCCGCCAAAGCAGAGCACGCTAACTTAACCACTCGGCCACAGAGCCAGCCCCTGAAATTTTTATTTTATTTTATTTTAATTTTTGGAATTAGTAATAGAAATTCCAGAAAGCCAGAGATTTCTGTATACTGAAGTATAATAATCACAGAGAAAGTAGTTGCTGTTTTTCCACTCAAAGTTAATAGTCATAGATCTTATAACATATTGATCTGTCCTCAAACTGACCCTATTGATGACTTGACTTAAGTCAGGACCCCTTTCTCCTGAGCCTTCCAGAAGACCTACTCCACTCAGATAAGCCCTCAGCTTGTGTTCCTCACTTAACGTCATTATGGGATCTTGTAGAACCTTTCTTCCTCAAACTTTCTAATACTGGATCAGGTATATTTTATTCTTTTAAAGCAATGACCCTTCTTATTTACCTTGGTGTATCTGTGAAAGATTGATCTTTAGCTTCTACCTTCAATATTCTGTATCTCACACTCCTTTAGCTAGCTATATAACTAGCTATACATACCAATTTGATTGCCATGTGGAAATTTAGCTCAGAGTATATGCAGATTCACCTGAATAATTACCCTCTTTGTTGGCTTATTATATGTGTATCTGTATCTGTTATAAGGCTGGCTTTCTTATCATGTATATGTAATGATGGCCCTCTTGTAACCTTTTGGAGTATTGTGGTTTTGTAAAAGATTCAAGAAACAAGGGCACTTCTCCCTCCCTAGAGGGAGATTATAGTAGAGTCTGGAAAATTAAGTATCAGAAAGAACACAGTGGCTAACAAAACATCTTGTTCTACATCTCCTTCTTATCTTCTTCCTTAATTTTGGAATCCTACTTCCAAGGAGAAAAACAACATCACAAGAATAGCTGCAAACTGCCAACCAAGCTTTTTATTTACTCTCCGAGATTGAGCCAAATACTGCCTCCTTTCCTCCTGTCTCATGTCAGAAATAGAGTGACTACAGCATTTTTCTAATGTACCTTGTGAATCTGCTCCCCAGCCCCTTCAGAGTTTACTCCTGTTCGTAGATATGTTGATGATTTAATGCTATTTTTTGCTGTTAATTTTACAAGTCTTATTAAACTTCTATTCAATAGGATGGTTGAAGAAAAGCATAAACTTCTAATTCAAATACTACACTTCATGTAATTGGTGGTAAACTGAAATACAAATAGGTACTATATCTCTGTATTTCAGTAAAACCTCAAGTGATTAAAGCTAAATATACATTTAACTTCTTATTGGGGCTCCAACTCAAAATCTGCTCTTGCTTTTTCTTCAGATTTTTAAACTGTTGATTGCCCAGTATCAGGGCCTGTATGAATTCTTCTCCTTCATTAAGTTTTAAAATCAAATGTCTGCCACTAGTCCTATTTTTTTATACAGGACTTTTTCCATGGTTGAATCGCAAATGCTCAGATTTTCACGCAGCCATTCCTCCTTTTACTTTTGAAACTTAACTCTGTTTTGCTGAAAAACAACCCACCTTTTTAGGCATCACAAAAGAAGATTCCAGGTTAAGCTGAAAGAATTGCGTTAATCTTGAGTGTTGAGATGTCTGCTGCCTCTTGAAGCCAGTATGGGACTGTTTACTTAAATTCCCAAGTTTGTTTCTTTAAAAGTAAACAGTTTTCTGTCTTGAACCGAGTTTTTAACTTGATCTGGATTTAGATGTGAAGAGACCTAGTGGCCTATAGGATAATTGATGTGTGGTATGTATGCCCTTCACCCAGTGCCTTTTGGAAAAGGAGGTTGTATGTGTTTTGTCCTGTTTACATATTTACATTACAGTAGGTAGTGCAGTGGTAGAGAATGGTCTGCATTGATTTAAAAAAACCAATAAATCATTCTCTTCTGTGTTAAAAATAAACATTTACATTTGGCTCCTTCCTTTTGTCAAAACTTCCTTTTGTTTCTTTTTAATTTCTCCAAGTGCAGTAGGAGAAACAACCTTCTCGCTTTATAATTCAAGCTTATAGCCCTATAAGTAGATTTCACTTGTTTATGCATGAATTTCAGCATTTTTTGGCTAGTTTGCTTTATGAGCACTCGTGGTTTGGGATGAACTCTGCAGGAACACTAACCACTCTGTGCTTGACCCACTAGATCGTATGTCTAAACCACCCAAATTAGGTTTACTGTGGCCTTCCGCTTCCCAAACCTCTCAGCAGGCTGCAGTGAACATCATCTTAAACATGTTTCTGTTCCAGACCACAGTGGTGAAGCTGGGATTCTGCTAAGTTCAAAAACACATGTCCAAATCCATAGTTAATTCAGAACACATTAATGTCGTGTCAAGAAGTGATATTATGCCTTCCCTCCTCCCTCCCTTTGGCCATTAGGTTTACCAGCAGTAACAGTTTTCTGTGTAGCTTGGCTTGGGACGTGCAACTAGACCAATTCTGCACCTGTTTTCCAGACATGTTCTCTAGATTAATCTCCTCACTATCCATTGCATTTTTTGCATAGATAGAGGGACTTCTCAGTAGAACTATTCTAAAGCTGTAGATGTTAAAAGCTCTTTTAAATTATATCTCAGTAAAGCTGAAATTTTTTAAAAAGCTCTTTTTACTCTATTTAAACCTGAGTTCTACCTAAGCATTTGTTTATGGATATATTTTCTTGCAAAACATGTTAATCAGGTATTTCTTAGAAGGCTCAACCATCTGAGAGGGCGTGGCACACTATTTCCTTTACAATAAATGTATTTCTAAGTGTTTCCTTTTCTCTTCCAAGTATAGAGTTGGGTAATCAACAAGAAAATATCAGACATTGTCTGTTTTGTAAAGGTTATTTGATATGAGAATAGAATACTTGTGTAAAATAGCCACTTTCTTTTGAGCAGATTAAAGAATGTGCTGATGAACCAGTTGGAAAAGGTTATTTGGTTTCCTGCTTGGTGGATCACCGAGGCAACATCACTGAGTACCAGTGTCACCAATACATCACCAAGATGACGGCCATCATTTTCAGTGATTACCGTCTAATCTGTGGCTTCATGGATGACTGCAAAAATGACATCAATATTCTGAAATGTGGCAGCATTCGGCTTGGAGAAAAGGTACTTACTGCGCTGGCTTCACCAAAGGGGTCTTACAAACTTTATAAGTGAACAGCTTTGTATAATTGGTGTGGTAAAATTTAGGGCTAGAGGTGGCCTTAAAGTTGAGGTCCAGACAGCCCCAAGATCTAAAGCTAGTGGACCTGTGAATGCATTTCATCTGTTTGTAACAAAGTGTTTCAGCACTGTAGAGGGAAGTAGAGAAATTTATATCTGCTAAGAGTGGTGTTATCCTCAAAATACTAAACCATTTGCTAGTTACCTATAATGTTCCTCTTGAAAAGCATTTTGAGGTCCTGTGGGAAAAGTAGTTGGATTAGAAGAGATTTGAGTTCTCTAACCTTTCTCTGCACATATCTCACTGTTGCCATAAAAAATTACTTAGTAAGCACACCACTACAAAAGAAAATTTAAGATATGTGAAGGTATTTTTACCTTGTTAGAAGAAAGGTACTCTATAAATGTGACATGTTGTCTTCATTTCAGAAGAACTAGTTTTAGTAAAGACAGAAAATAACTACCTAGCTAGTTTCTTCTTCCTTGTTTGTGTCTGATCTTATTTTGTCCTTGTTAGTCTGTTGTCCAGAAGGTCACAGTGGACGTTTGGCCAGGTTTGTTCTGAATTTGTTAGCTCAGCGAAAATGAAAGAAACTCTTGAGAAGTAACAGATGCCAGTGGGAGAGGTAGTCTGAGATCTGTGTATGGCATCAGCTATTTATTACCACTGCTCATTAATCTGATGTTTAGGAAATATGAAGGAAAATAAAATCCATTTGTCTCTTTGCCCTCTATTTGTTCATTGCACCATGGTTTGCAGGCTTCCGTCGCTGACAAAGGGGACATAGTGTTGGAATGCTGGAAATTCATATACTGGTTCAAATGAAGGGTTTAGTGCTGGGTATTGTCTGGCTGTCACCAAATACCCTTTCCTTTATACCAGCACAGGGCTCTGGCCATTTCACACAGCATTCTCAGTTGATCTTGAGAGCACTGTGAACTTGACATACACCTTTCAGGCAGCTAAAGAAGGGCCAGTTTTAATAAAGAATGTGGATTTTTTTTCCTCTGCAGCAGACTCTAGAAATGGCACAAACCACTCAAGTCATCCTGAAAATTCAGGAAGTTCCTCTGACTTTCTTTAGGGTGTGGGAGATTATATTCAATTCTAAACCTGACTCCTTTTAAACTCTTCACATAAGTGTTCCAGACACTTTGCAGGAATCACGGATGACACTTTTTCGTATTTATGATGCATGAAAGCTAATCTCTGATTAGCTTCCCACTAGCAGTCTGAATTGTCAGTATAAAACGTGCTTTCAGCTGTGTGTGTGAGCTCCTCAGTCTGCAGTGACTGAGACCATTGCAGGAAGTAGTAGTGCTAGAGGCCAAAGACATGAGAGGGAGGCTTGTTTTTTCACCTTTGTTAAAATAACAAAAAATGTTTCTATGGACTATCAAAATGCACATCTTTGTCATTTTTATCTTTTGCTATACCTACCAGTTAGGTGAATTTCTCTTTATACCAGGCCCTCACCCTAGCATCAAAAGCTTTCCTGTACTTTGGTGACAGTGTGATGGGCTCATGCCTGTGCTTCTGAAAAAGCATGTTCCCTCCTATATAATTTGCTCTGGTCCTACAGCCAAGTTTAAAAATGAGGAAGGCATGTTCTAAGCCTTTCTTTGCCTTTTCCAACTATAGTTTACTTCTCTGAAGCCAGTTACTTAGATATGAAAATTATCCTGAAAATTAATGAATCACCTTCTGACCACAGAAGAGAACAGGCTCATCAATTCCAAATTTGTTGCCTCTGAAGCTTGAAAATTCCTCATGACTTGCTGTGAACAGACCTCCTCTAAAGGGCAGAGGCAAGAAGTCATGGTTAATCTGTTTGTCCCTGCCTCTGTATGAACGTAAAAATGTCATGATTTTGAAACGATAACAATTTTTTTCAAAACGTTAATATATGTAAATTTTAGAACAAAGATTATATATAAATTAAACCTACAGAATCCTATTTACAATCACGTAAAAAGAATAAAATACCTAGGAATAAATTTAACCAAGGAGGTGAAAGATCCATATACTGAAAACTATAAGACATTATTGAAAGAAATCAAAGAAGACATAAAGAAATGGAAAGGTATTCCATGCTCATGGATTAGAAAATGAACATACTTAAAGTGCCCCTATTACCTAAAGCAGTCTACAGATTCAGTGCAATCCCAATCAGAATCCCAATGACATTCTTCATGGAAATTGAACAAAGAATCCTAAAATTTTATGGAAAAATAAAAGACCCCAAATAGCCAAAGCGATCTTGAGAAAAAGGAACAAAGCTGGAGGTATCACACTCCTTGAATTCAAAATATACTACAAAGCTATGGTAACCAAAACAGCATGGTACTGGCACAAAAACAGACACGAGATCAAAGGAACAAAATTGAAAGCCCAGAGATAAAACCACACATCTACAGCTAGCTGATCTTCAACAAAGGGGCCAAGAAGATACAATGGAGAAAGGAAAGTCTCTTCAGTAAAGATGTAGGGAAAACGGGACAGCCACGTTCAGAAGAATGAAAATAAACCATTATCTTATACCATACACAAAAATTAACTCAAAATGGATTAAAGACTTGAATGTAAGACCTGAAAACATAAAACTCTTAGAAGAAAATATAGGCAGTACACTCTTTGACACTGGTCTTAGCAGTATCCTTTTGAATACCAGTCTAATCAGGCAAGGGAAAACAAAGGAAAAAAAAACAAATGGGACTACATGAAAGTAAAAAGCTTCTGCACTGCAAAGGAAACCATCAACAAAACAAAAAAGACAACCCTCCAACTGGAAGAAAATATTTGCAAATCACATATGCAACAAGGGGTTACTTTCCAAAATATATGAAGAACTCATACAACTCAACAACAGAAAAATGAACAAGCAAATTAAAAAAATGAGCAGAGGATCTGAACAGGCATTTTTCCAAAGAAGATATACAGATGGCCAACAAGTACATGAAAAGATGTTTAACATCACTAATTATTAGGGAAATGCAAATCAAAACTACAATGAGAATGGCTGTAATTACTGTCAGAATGGCTATAATTACCAAGACGAAAAAAATAACAAATGCTGGAGAGGATGTGGAGAAAAGGGAACCCTCATACACTGCTGGTGGGAATGCAAACTGACGCGAACAGTATGGAGGTTTCTCAAAAAATTAAACATAGAAATACCATACGATCCAGCTATCCCGCTACTGGGTATTTATCCAAAGAACTTGAAATCAGTGATCCAAAGAGATTTATGTAGCCCTGTGTTCACTGCAGCATTATTCACAATAGCTGAGACGTGGAAGCAACCCAACTGCCCACTGACTGATAAATGGATAAAGATGTGGGGTGTGTATATATATATATATACACACACACACACACACGCACAATGGAATACATACTCAGCCATAAAAAAAAGGCAAAATCATCCCATTCGCAACAACATGGATGGACCTTGAGAATATTATGTTAAGTGAAATAAGCCAGACAGAGAAAGGCAAACATCACGTGATTTCACTCATATGTGGAAGATAAACAAACTCATGGATAAAGAGAACAGATTAGTGGTTACCAGAGGGGAAGGAGGTTGGGAGGTGGTTTTAAGGGGTAAAGGGGCACATATATGTGGTAATGGATAAAAGTTAGACTATTGGTGGTGAGGATGATGCAGTCTATACAGAAACTGATAAATAATAATGTACACCTGAAATTACACAATGTTATAAACCATTATGACCTCAATAATACAACTTTCAAAAATAAGAAAAAGAATAAAAGCCAAACTCAAAAAAAAAAAAGAAGAATGTAGAATATCAGATTTTGAGAGATAGGAATAGTTCTGTAGAGTGCTGATTGAAGGATCACAGAATATGTGGGTAAATAAACTTTTCAAATAAGAAGAAAAGAAACCTGCAGATTTCCCGACTCCACCCTGAAAACCGTATTCAGTTAGGAGTGGTGTGGGTGCTGGGAATGTCTAGTTGTCCTAAGAGCCCAGGTGGGTCTCTGCCTCATGTTTGGGATTCGCCAACCTATCTGACTCCCCCAGTAACCACAAGTCTGCCTCAGTCACACCAAGTCTCAGAGAGAGATTCTGAGGTTCTAATTTCCAGTACTGGGCAGTGGGGGTCACTGCAAGAAGAGGCATTAGTGGTCTTTTGTGGGTTAACTGAGACTCACAGTGCGAACTTGCTAGGAACCGCAGGGTGTACGCCCCCGCTCCTCTAACCCAGGTTGGGGAAACTTCTTAAGTTATCAGCACTTTCTCTGGCCTTGAAGGTGTGTGTTGGGGGAAGGAGCCACAGTCTTGCTGCTGTGGCCCTGAGAACCAGTGTGCTGTCCACAGGTTGGGTGATTTTACCCGGGCCTGAGGGCTACGAGCTGCTGACAGTGTCCCCTTCTGTTCTGGGCTGAAAAGTACGTGGGCCTGGGATACAGGCCCAAACACTGCTCTTTCCTCTCTGCTGATTTTCTCCCACCCTCACTCCCCAGCACCAACTGTCCCCTTACCTGCTGAGAGAGGCGTTCCACTGGGAACAGCCAGCACCTCATTGCCATGGCACACAGCACTCAGTGAGCTGTTTAGCATCTACATCAGATCACTTCACTACCCTGTTCAAATCCCTCCCGTGACTTCCCGTCACATTTAAGACAGGATGCTCTCCTCACCATAGCCGACAAGGCCTGCTACGGTCCAGCCCACGCCTACTTTTCCAACCACATCTTTCATTCTTCTCTATCTTTCCTCACCAGCCACACTGGCCTATCTGCTGGTCCTGGAACAGGCTAGCCTCTTTCCTACCTCAGTGTCTTGGCACTTGCCATTTCCTCCTCCGGGAAGAGTCTTCCTCCAGCTCCTCACATAACTCCTTCACTCACATCGCCACTGAAATGTCACCTCCTCAGAGAAGCCTTCCCTGACTACCTTGTATAATATAGCACCCCT